CTGATCACTACAATCTTAAACTGTTCAAGTTAACCATTATTTTCCTCTCCTATCCATATATTTTACCCTTTAATGAAACCCTCTACCACAAGTACACCCCAAGCCTTGTGAAAAAAAAATCTCTCTAATATTGAGCACTCTACCCCACTAAATATACCACATTTTAAAAATACTTGGGCAGTAATCTTTTATATATGTTTTATTGAATGTTATGAACAAGGGAAATTTTGTTTGGTTTGGTTTGTTTTGTTTTATAGCATATCAACCTCAATGGGTTATAGAATGCTGATGAAATTTTTATTTCTGGTATTGTTTTTCTTCAAAAATCTATTTCTGGAAATATTTTTCCTTGAAGAAATCTATAGCTGGTCATATTTTTTCCAAAGAATGTATAACTGTTTGTATTGCTGGTATTTTTTTTTTTTTAAGTATTGCTGATAATAATTTTTCCTTCAAAAATTATTGCTGGTAATAATTTTTATTACAAAGTATTTTTGGTATTAAAACCTATTTTTACACAGGTTTGGGTGTTAACTATTTACCCATAGCTGGAACCCTAACAGGTGCTACCACCCCGGGTCAGGGTGGACCTGGGAACACCAGCAAGGTGGTTCTATGCTCCTCAAAACATCCTGATCAGAGGCCTTGCGGTTGGACGTAGTTTATTGTCTTACCCAGGACGCGGATGTAGTTTATTGTTATACCCAGGATGGGGAAATTTTGTAAAATTTTATTTACTTTTTCTAATGTTCTTAAATTTTTTTTCATAATGAATAAAAGTGTGTAGAAAATGTAGTCATTATTGTCCCAAGCATTTTCAGCCAATTCATTCTTCAAATACTACTACCAAAAGCTAGAACAGTAACAAAAAGTGAGTTTTGTAATTAAGAAAAAAAAATAATGTCATCCAGGATATTTCTGAAAGATAACGCTTTTAGTCTTTGGAATTAAAGTGCTCATTATCAAGAGAATGTTAAATCTTCCAAAAATATCAGAAGTGCAAAGAGGATAATATTAATTATCAATAAAGTTTTTATTGCAGAAAATTATCCTGGAAATGATCTAAGGCAGGTAGCATATACATGAACTCTTTATTAATTCTCTTGCCCTATATTCAACCATCAAAACAGAATAATTTTAACGTTTTCTATCTGATTTATCAATTTAGATCTTCCCTCTTCCATAAAACCACAACCATTTCTGTCAGTAAAGCACTTAATCAGTTGGTAGATTTATTCATGGGCAACTAAGTGGATTGGTACTGAGAAAGTGTAACATATTGTCGATATTTTGGACACGGGTCACTTGTAAAGCGGTGAATTTTGTAAAAGAGCACAGAATTTCATGCACCAATTCAAAGATAAGATTTTTAGTTTATCTTTCGCTTCAGCCATGATTATATTTTTTTCTTTCATCAATTCAGTGGATCAAATCAAAATATAAACCAGCCACTTTAACATATATAAGTTCCTCTTTGGAATGGTTAGCAAGCTGGTATCACAGACAGTTACTACTGTGGCAGACAGGTGCTATGTTGGAACTGATGCAGTTGCTATCTTTCAAAAGAAATGAATTCAACATGTGGAGGAAATTTTATGCATATATTTTTAAATAAATAATAATATCACTGACGAAAATTTATTATGATTTTTACAGCTTATCAGACTTTTTCAAGATATTTAAATCCAGGAAAAACTTTTAGAATTTAATAATTAAAAAAAAAATAATAACAATTTATGGATACAAGTCCTACTATTTAACACAACTGAGGGGAGGAGCAGCAGATTCATACTTTTCCCAGCAGCTTCCCATAAACCACTACTTTGTAGAACCGACTCCCAAGAGGATGTTTCCCCAATCACTACAATCTTATTCTGTTCAATTATAAGGTTAACTGTTATCTTCCCCACATATCCTCATAAACTCTGTCTCTTACTCTGCAACACTCTACCTCGAGTGGCTTTTGAGCCTTGTGAAGAATTAACATTATTTATTGTAAGAAAAAATCCTGCAACAGCAAGGTGTGGCTCTATACTCAACAGTGGTCTCTCCAGGGTTGATATGCATATTTGCATGGATAAAGTGAAGAAATAAACAATCTTCAACATGACTCTACAAATTTAAATAAATTTTTATCATTGAGTACTAGTTTTCTTTCAAATTGAAAGAAATGAATTACAAAAATTTTTCTGAAACAAATTCATGCAAAAATTTTATTATCTTCACAATACAATCGAATCAATTGTGTGGGTATGATAAAATATAGAATGCGTCTATATATCAGAATGTGTGCATCACGTATTTACATAGTTTTATATATGCATGTAATTTCCTAGTAGCAGCAATTAGCAGTCAGTGAATGATAGCTGCATTACAACTACTGCTACACTGTCCTGGGTATGATGATAAACTACATCCACGTCCTGGGTAAGATAATAAACTACATCCAGCAGCATGGCCTCTGATCAGGATGTTTTAAGGAGCATAGAACCACCTCTTAATTGTTGGTATTCCAAGGTCCACTCTGACTTGGGATGGTAGCATCTGTTAGGGTCCCAGCTATGGGCAAATATTTAACCCCAAAAATGGAGTAAAAACACTATGAAAGTGCAAAATTAGGTTTTAATACCAGAAATACTTTGTAAAAAAATTATTACCTGCAATAAATTTTTGAAGGAAAAAAATATTACCAACAATGTTTTTGAAGAAAAAATATTACCAACTATACATTTTTTGGGAAAAAATATTACCAGCAATACTTTTTTGAAGGAAAAATATTACCAGAAATAGATTTTTGACAAAACAAAATATTAGCAGCAATAAAAATTTTTCGGCATTGAGTTTGATATGCTGTAAAACAAACTAAATCAAACTACTGCTAAAATCTGTGCTGACAAATGACTTGGTTTGTTTGGGGTTTTTTTGTGTATTTCTTAACTCGGTATTGCTGAGCCTTTTTTGTAATATAGTATACTTGAATAAATATGTGAATGTGTGGGTAATTAATTAAGGTTTGAGTATTTCAGCTTCTATAACAAAGAGATGATCCTGCTCAAAGTTTAACTGAAAAAATAACCTAGAAATCAGCTCCAAAAAGACTAAAAGTTAGATTTTATTAGACTCATAAGTTTATTGGTTAATAAATATTTCCCTAATTGTTAAACGTCTATTTTAAGAAGGAAAATATTTTCGATCATTTTCTGGAGTGAACCTTAAAAATTTCATAGCAAATGATAAACATTGTTGTTTGAAAATTCAAAGACAACAGCACATTTCATATGACGTTGATGATTGGTTTATATATGTGGATGTTTCTTGTAGAGCTAATATTGCTGATGGTGTCAAGATCTTCCATGAGGCATCACAAAAATATGTAGAACTGAAGAGAGTAGTTCAGAAGGGATCCTTGAATTGACATGAGGTGACAACCTGGCCTTGTGCCCAATGCAATCAGATATATCTGTTCAAGGGAGGTCTGCTCAGTCACTAGAAATCACACCAACACTAGTCTATTGTATATGATGATTTTGTAATGGCATGCTTTGAATCCCCGACATGCACTAGGGTGTGCAAGTTCAGCATGGGCCTGACAAAGCATATGAAAATGCACATTGGAAGTGATGATAATCAAAGTCAACTTCCACTACCCAGAGATGATTTAATAGGCCACATATATAACAAGAAATGCAGATGAGCCACTGTTGTTTATACAACCGATGAATACAACACTGTGGTGGGGGGAGTTTAACTGAAGGATTGGACATGTCAGTGATGGTCAAACTTGCTTTGTCAGTTGACAGCCACTATATGTGAATGTCAGAATTCAAATTTGGAGCCTACAAAATGCCCAAAAATGTCTCCTTTTATGTGAGCCAGTTTTGTATGAAAAATGAGTTTCCAATGAGAGGACTTAAATCTATGTCATTTATCTACAATACCTTAATGAGATTCCACATTACTAAAGAATTATCTGTGATTTCTTAAATCTTTCTGAGAATTTAATTTTTAGAAAGATTTCAATTCTGTTTTTTTTTTAAGACTGTATTTTGGTTGGCAGTATATCTAGTATTGTGATGACTCAGCATTTTAGGACAGAGAGTTTCCTAAACTGAAGTCATTGGCCAAGATTCTATCAATGGAATCAATAGTCTTCAAGTTGGAACATATTAACTGCGGTCTGACCTGGAGAGAGATGGGCTCTGCCAGGTGTATCTGCCATACTGTAAATGATTGAATTATGTGCACATGGATGAGTGGTTAGAATGTTTGCATTCTAACTATGAGATCTGGTTTCAAATCTCACCATGGTCAGTCAAGAAGGAGACTTCTTGATGTTATCAGACTGGAGGGGGTCGATCCCAGCATGCAGCACCTTTGGAAAGTGCTTGGAAACCATACCACAGGTTGATCCAAGTCTTGTGAGGGAAATTGGGTAGATGTAACCCTTGGGGGCCATCGATAGCTGTGCTAGCATGAAGTCACAAGTTATCGTGGCTGAGGGCTTGAGTGTGCTAGCCTTGTTCAAGTTGTTGATTATGCCAGATAACAGCTCTTTCCCTGAAACTGTAACTAAGGTTTGCTCAGCATAGTTGCAATATAAGCTACAAGTGGTCTCTGTGGTTTTGAATAAACATAAAAGTGCTTCAGCAAGCATCTGCAATAGGGATTGGCTAACTGCTCTAGTAGTCGGGTATCTTCTAATACGAGTGGTCAGCTATACATACATGATTGAATAGCTACTGTGACATGTGGTAGGAACTGGCCAGCTGTTCAGTTGCATAGTGTTCTTATGACCACACCCTGTCCTGGGACCGATGATGATACTTTTGGTTGGTTCAATGTGCACTCTCAAAAAAAGAAATCCAGCTGTAAAATTGAGATTCATATAAAAACAACACATCATTGTATATTACTCTGTTCCTATGTCATTATGAAGACTCTCAAAATGTAACCTTGTGCTGGCATGTATCAAATTATGACTGTGAATTTCTCTCTTCCAGGTGACCAATGAAAGGCCGTCATCAGCTCCACCTCCTCCTCCATCACGAAACAGTTTTGTTGTCAAGTCAGGTTCAGAAAATATAGAAGACTGGGAAGTAGTGGAGAACCTACAACTGTCTTCAGAGAATACAGGAAACCAGAAATTAATTGACAATATTCAAGACAAGGAACCAGTTGACAGTCTCAGTGTAAGTAAACCAAATAATTTATTTCTTCTTTTATGTCATGTCCCTTCTAGACACAGGTGATCATGGCCCTTCACATCTTCCTGTCCCTTGTAAGTTTTATCTTTTTGTTATTTCTGTCAAATCCTGTTCTGCCATCCATTTGCTCAAGCCTATCAAATACTTTCCTATGTTCCTCTATCTGTCCTGTGAGTATCAGATTTTCCAAGCTCTCCTTCCTCATTATGTGCACCAGAAATTTCAACTATTTCTTCCTGATGTTAATTTTCTTTTTTGTTTCCATTTTCACCAAAACCTCATAGTTGCTCATATGTTCAGTCCATGGTATCCTCAGCATCCTTCTGTAGAAACAAATTTCTGTTGCTTCAAGTCTCTTCATCTCTGAGGAGATTGTCCAGCATTAACTGCCATGCAGAAGGACAGATATCACATAACAGTTCAGTAATCTTTTCTTTGTTTCCAACAGAATTTTCCTGTCTCTTAATACTCTGCTTAGCTTTTGGAATGCATTTTTGGCTGTCCCAATACATTTTCAGATTTCAGTGTCACACTTACTGCCCTCCGTTAGAACACTTCCCAGATATTCAAATTTTTGTACTTGTTTGATTTTGGCATCTTTGAATATTTACATGAATTAATGGTGGTGAAAAGGTACACACACAAAATAACAGTGACTGATTGATTTGCAATGCGAGATGACATTTATTTAACAATAATAACAAAAGAAAAGTTTAAGAGTTTATTTCCCTAGAAATTGAAAACACAATGAAATTGTTAATGAATGTTGTAGTGATATGTAAATGACGTAATATATAAAAGGCAGTATTGCTATATATATATATATATATTTTTAAGCGTTTCACCCCAAGCAAGATGTGAAGCCACTAGCACGTAAGGGGTTACAGAGAATTGGAGTGAGACCAAATAGGAGTGATAGAGGAAAGGATGAAGAGAAGAACAAGGGACAGATCAGGGCATCTGGAGACGTCGATTGACATTACATTTGAATAGTTGGAGATTATAGCTATCAGGGAAGCAGAAAGAGGGGAGGAGGGAGTTACACAGGCAAGAGATGCGAGACATGAAGCTATTGGAGTAGAAGAGATGGCTACATTTAACAGTTTCGACAGTGAAAAGGTGTGAGCAAGATGGCAGCCTAGTAGAATGCTTAAATTCATGAAGTTTTGGAACCAGCAAAAGCAGCTCAATGGAGCAGTTACCATGAAAGTATTTGTAAAAAAGATAGAGGGAGGCGATGGTATGCCTGTGAGAGAGTGACTGCAGATGAGATGTCAGATCAGGGCCAATTATATTGCATGTCCGTCTCTGGATCTTATCAAGGACCTTGAGACAAACAGAAGGAGCACCAGACCATATATGGCAGCAATGCTCCATGCAAGGGTGAATTTGTAGATTTGAAGGATCAACTCCAGCGAGAAAAATTTCCTGGCGCGGCACAGGGAGCCAACTTTCCTTTGCGGTGGACATAGATATTGACTCAATGTATTTCTTCCATCTTCCATGAGTAGTCGCAAAGAAGAGCTCTCGAGTAGTTGAGCATCAGGGTAGGTAGGGATGGTTCTCTCTGGTGAGTAATAGAGAGCAGTTTTGTTTTTGAGGCCTTAAAGTTAACCAGCCAATTCCTGCCCCAGTTCACAACTGATTGGAGGTCCTTTTTGAGATGAACGGCCAGGTTAGTTTTTATGTAGAGTTATCTTCTCTTGACAAAACTACATCTGTTCATGGCCATACATTTCACTGAAAAAGTACAAGTAAAAATAGTAACAAGCAATACTTTAAGTATTTTAATTACAGATTTTCCAAGCCCTCAGTAGAATAAGTTAGAATAGGACTAGTAATTACAACTGAATTTCAAGTGATTAAATTTCTAAATTTAAAGTTAAAAGTTTTCTTATTTCAATATTTTTTTATTGAAATTAGTATTTTTAAAATATTAATTCTCTTCTACTCGCAGTAAACGCTTGCATCTTAGTGGCTTTATCACCTTGCTTGGTGTGAAATGATTAAAAAAAAGCCTCAATGTTGTACCAGACTGTACCGACAGGAAATCTGACAGAATAATGGTGGAGCGTGGTGGTAGCTTAGTAGTGTTTATCTTCTCTCCATTTATACAAGCTCATTACGTACGTTACTGTCTGCTCCACTTGCCTTCAGTATGCATGAGGGTGGGCTGACTATGAAGGAGTGATGCTAGAGTTGTGAAGTCTTGAATGCACTAATTTCAGCTATTCATATTGGAAACTGTATTGTTCCTTTCGAGGTAAACTGACATCTGACCGTTCAAAGAAGACTTCAAAAGTAACTAGTAGTGACTTCTCTTGAAAATGGCCAAAATTTGGCATCATGGTGTTATCAAATACCTGCAGAAAAAGGTTTTAGCCCCAAAGACATACATGCTAACATATTTAGTACATCAGAGCTCCAGCTTTATCAACATTGCAAAAGTGGGCAACTGAATTTAGGAGAGGAAAGGCGAGTTTTGAGGACGACTCAAGATTTGGACATCCTGTGATCACCGTCACCGAGGAAAACAATGATCCAATTTGCCACACAGTGATGGATGACAGGTGACTGATGCTATTGTCATTTTCCTTGAGAGAGTTGAGAATATTCTGCACAGTGAACTTTGCATGACAAAAAGTTTCTGTTTGGTTTGTTCCATGTCTTCTGACACAGGATCAAAAGCGCTCCAGGTTAATGACATCATGGAAAGATCCAACTGGCTTCCTAATCCAGGTTGAGTGCTGGGTTCATCACTTAGAGACAAGGAGACAATCCTGCTCCAAAGAAAGCCAATGTCATTTCATCTGCAGAGAAGGTAATGAGCCTCAGTTTTTTGGCATGCAAAAGGCATTGTATTTATTGACTATCTTCACACCATCAATGAACTGTACTCTGTCAACTTGCTGAGGCAGTTATCAATGGCTATCAAGACTAAATGTCCAGCAAAACTGACTAAAGGGGTATTATTCCATCTGAACAATGCTCCAGCATATGTCCTTGGTTTCAATGTGTGTTAAGCGTGACTGTGGCTTTTAACTGGTTGATCATCCTCTCTGTTGTCCTGATTTGACTATCATTTGTTCCCTAATATGAAAAAGCACTTGGCTGGGAACCAGTATTGCAGTGATGATGACATCATATCTGTTGTTGTTGAACAGTCAGATGCCAGTTGATCTAGAAATAAACAATGCGTCTATTAAGAAGAGTTGAAATGAATGCATGCAAGATTTCACAGCTCTAGCATCACTCCTTCATAGTCAGCCTAAGAACTTTTCAACCTACGCTTGTACCTGGAAAGAAGGAAATGCAGTTATTAAAAAGAAGAGTTGAAATGAATGCATGCAAGATTTCACAGCTCTAGCATCACTCCTTCATAGTCAGCCTATGAACTTTTCAGCCTACCCTCGTACCTGGAAAGAAGAAAATGCAGTTATTAAAAAGAAGAGTTGAAATGAATGCATGCAAGATTTCACAGCTCTAGCATCACTCCATCATAGTCAGCCTATGAACTTTTCAGCCTACCCTCGTACCTGAAAAGAAGGAAATGCAGTTATTAATAAGAAGAGTTGAAATGAATGCATGCAAGATTTCACAGCTCTAGCATCACTCCATCATAGTCAGCCTATGAACTTTTCAGCCTACTCTTGTATCTGGAAAGAAGGAAATGCAGTTATTAATAAGAAGAGTTGAAATGAATGCATGCAAGATTTCACAGCTCTAGCATCACTCCATCATAGTCAGCCTATGAACTTTTCAGCCTACCCTCGTACCTGGAAAGAAGGAAATGCAGTTATTAATAAGAAGAGTTGAAATGAATGCATGCAAGATTTCACAGCTCTAGCATCACTCCATCATAGTCAGCCTATGAACTTTTCAGCCTACTCTTGTATCTGGAAAGAAGGAAATGCAGTTATTAATAAGAAGAGTTGAAATGAATGCATACAAGATTTCACAGCTCTAGCATCACTCCATCATAGTCAGCCATGATGACTTTTCAGCCTACCCTCGTACCTGAAAAGAAGGAAATGCAGTTATTAATAAGAAGAGTTGAAATGAATGCATGCAAGATTTCACAGCTCTAGCATCACTCCATCATAGTCAGCCTATGAACTTTTCAGCCCAAACCTCATAGTATCAAATTCTTCAGCCCATCTTTCCTCATTATGCTCTTTTTCATTTTCCTTAAAATGTTTTCATTATGTGTCTATATTTCTGAGATGAGGTATTATGTACACTATTTACATTGTTCGGCCAGTTGAGGAGACATAAACACGTTAGATACATCCAGTGACTTGACGCAATGAGTTGTGAGTTCAATACCTGGTTACTGCAGTAGTGAACAAAAATTTGGAGAGTTGATTTAAAGGGAGATAAGTGAGACATCTGAAAGAGACATGGCACGTGGAATTAGAACAATCTACTACGTTGGATGAAATAAGTGTTCAGTTTGAAGTTCCAGTTACCTGAAGAAGGGCAGAGTGTACAATGGTCAAAACGTTGTGAACATGACAATAAATATGAGGACAACAGTCTGAACAATGTAAATAATGTTTTTGTTGTTCACATGTTTCATCTATGGTATACTGAGCATTCTTCTGTAGAAGCACGTCTTTGTTGTCTCTTCAGCTGTGAGAAAACTGTTTCAGCGGCATATCAATTCCTTATGGTTTGTTTAATGGCAAAATTTAATTTTCTTAGGAGCATTAGTAATTTCAGTTAGAAAAATGCTTTGCTGGTAAGTTTTTTTCAAAAATTTATTCCATCCTGAGTATGAAGATGAACTACATCGAACAACAAGGCCTCTGATCGGGAGGTTTTGAGAAGTGTGGAACCACTTAATTGCTGGTGTTCCTAGGTCCACCCTGGCCCAGGGTGGTAGCACCTGTTAGGGTCTCAGCTATGGGTAAATAGCTAACCCCCAAACTGGGGTCAAAACACTATGAAAATGTAAGAATAGGTTTTAGTACCAACAAAACATT